ATAAAGGAAGGTCTGTTAAAATAGAGTACTTACCCCTTCGCAAATCCTATCTGCCTAGATTTTAAACCTTTGAACAGTAGAAATTAATTGAAGGGCTATGATTTCAGGTTTCTGCCAAAATTTTCATCAAAGCAGACACCCTCTGCTGATTGTAAGAGGCCCTTATGAAACATGGTCATGAACTGCCATTTATCATTAAGAAGATTATTCACAGGCCAAATAGAAGAATGCTTCTGTTTTTAAAACACCTGGCCAAGTTTTGTATCATTCACAGTAAAATACATCAATAACTAATCAGATACTACATAAACCAACTTTGCTAAACCGTATAATTGATGCAAAGTCAGCCAGATCTCAAAGATCACATCGGTTTGTCTTGCAACCCAAGGTAATGCTAGACAGCATAATTTTACATATGATCCCATCAAAAAAAAAACTCAATTCTGTTTCATGGAATAGGGATATTAAAAAAATTCTACTTTTTCAAAAATATTCCATAAAAAGGCATATTTAAGATATTCAAAAATAGAACTAGATGAATTAAAAAAAATTTTAAAACTGTTAATTAACGAGCTATCCTATATTTACTGACCACTTTAAGTGAAGTTTTATTTCCACATGAATTAAAGTTTAAAATTAACTTGTTGCAATTTCTCCCTATATCCATAAGATGAGAGCTTTCATTTCATTTCGAGACGATGCACTTGAGTTCTTCAGTAAAAACACTTCATTAAAGATAAAAACCTTAAATGTAGCACACACACACCATTGGCCATTATTCTAACACTTGTCATGCCCAAGACACAAAATATAATCAGTCCTTCAGCAGATATAAATTTTGAAACTTCAGAATGTAATGCTTTCAAACATGAATGGCATACCACAAAGTCACTGATTCACAGAAACATACCACAGTTTATTTAATAAAAGCTTCAGGTACTAATACTGGAGTTTGGAATTTTTGAACACAATTTTTTTTAAATGCCCTCACTCCCAAATTGCACGAGACAGCAGTATGCTATAGAATCCTCCCTAATTCATATGTTCCAACAAATTGGTATCAAAACGTTTTTCAACATTTAACAGGACAGTACGAGCCTTATGTTTTAGCAGAAATAACTTTGGTAGGCTGGGAAAGAAAATTGAATGCTGATATAGGTACAGGGTGTAATGTGATTCAAGTAGGTTTTATATCGCCATCTCGCCTTTCGAAGGTGAGAAGATGTTCAAAGATTTATTAAATAAACAGATTAAATCTATTATTTCAAGACCATTAATTAAGAAAACCAAGCAATAAAATTCGCCAAATTCCATTCTCAGATGAGCATTATGACCTAAATCATTAAGCTCTAGAAAAAATGATGTCTAAGATGCACAGCTATTTGTGGTCAGATTTTGTTTGAAGTAAAGCACAAGGTGTGTACAACCAAAATCATTGATCTTCTGAGTAGCACCTGGGTAGATCATTGAAATACGACATGATACTTTCTGTCAGAAAACTTTTATTACTATACTCTGCATTGAATATTAGATCTACTGTTTCCAATTAAAAAGTGTTCTGCTAGCGTTCAGTGTCTTCGCAAGTGATATGTTTTCCACCAGTGCCAAACCTCAAACACAGTCATGAAAGTGATTAGGGATCACAGTTCTCCTTCCTGGCTAATCAAACTCAGTACTTTTTATAGGATGATTACTTGACCTTGGAATTGAAACACAATAGAAAATGCTGATAAGACAAGCCAATCCAATCCCATCTTGTTTATACACTATTACAATTATACTTTCATGAAGTATTCACTAGCAAGCTTAATTTGGATTTTGACTCCCATCAATACAATGATACAGGAATGTTTTCATTTGAAATTTTCCCATATCTACAAGAGTAACCAAAACTAGCTGTGTGCATTGATACGATCTTGGCAATTGTTCAGTTTCAGTGGTTCATTCCAGGGACCATGGACAAGTCATTTTAATTTACGACAGGTATCTCGGTCATTTCAGCAAAGATACATGGCAACCAACGGCACCCAAGTCTGAAAGATGAGGTTAGGTAGTGGGTGGAAAGAAAATGTTAGACCAAAGGACATAACCTTTCAAAAAAAAAACAGAATCACAAACAGGCTCCAAATTTTCCATGGGTCACTTTGGCAAATACAACAGCAGAAACATCAGGCATAGGGTTAGAACAAAAGATTAGAAGACTCTTTTCAGTTCCATTTTAGGATCCATTGTCTCCTTCAGATGATGTAAAAGTACGTTGGGAAAGAATTTCACTGATCCTCATGCTTCCAGCAGGTTCTCAACGGCAACACAGTTCAGAATAACTTTTGTCTCCCTGTGGTGGAAATTCTCTGATATACAATCCCATGTACTCACTACAGTTGACACTGGGAGTAAAGGATCAGTGAATTTATCCCACAATCTATCATTATGGTTCTGATGGCTTATAAATATCTTTGTGAAAATACTGTTAGGACCATAAGATGAACAGGCAACTTCAGTGAGAAAACTAGACAAGACAAAGAGCCATAATACAATTCAATAAAGAGGCTGTGCAAAATATAAAGCTGTAATTCTGATAACTAATGTTCCTAAGTGAAATGCAGGGGTTGACAGAAAATTGTGAATGCCCAACACTTTTCAATATCTTCTTCAAACAAAACAGCATGAATATATTTGATTTAAGGTTAAGAACTGAAGATAAAGCATGCGTGAATTTTTTTTTTAAAAAAAGCAAAGTGAAAGGCAATGAGTCATGGATGGAAAGTTTTGGAACAAATGGCATGTCTAACACCCAAGGTTCTCTCTCTTCAAGATAACAGGCAACTTATAGAAAAGAATTAGGTTCTACACATGCATGTGGCAGCAGGGTCACCGAAAAATAGTCATTATCCACTGTTTGCTGTAGTGACATGGAGGCGAGCTGCAGTAATGTGTCAACATCCAGGTCAATGACACAGAATACATTAACCAGAGAAAAGCATGATGCATCAATTACATCTTTGTGGAGGTGAAGTCCCATCTTTACCGGGCAATCTTAAAAATGAGACGCAAAACAGGTAAAGCTATAACACAGGCCCGCTTGCCTGTCAAATAAGATAATCAACACATGACAGACACTGCTAAGCGATCCCAAAATCCAAAAGATAGGATTCAAGCTCTGCAGGCCTTTCACATTGAGTTGTGAACAATTAATAATTAACAGGTGGTGAAGGTGCTATGATTATCTCCATCCTCAATGATGAGGGTGCCCAGCATGTTAGTGCAAAAGACAAGGCTGAAGCAATTGTAACCACCTTCAGCCAGAACTGCTGAGTGGATAATCAGTTTCAGTTGCTTCCTGAGGGCCAGAGTCTCTCAGATACCAGTCTACAGCTAATTTGATTCACTTTATGCGATATCAAGAAACAGCTGAAGACACTGGATATTACAACTGTTGCAGAACCTGACCACATTCCAGAAATAGTACTGAAACCTCACGTTCCAGAACTAGCTGCAACCCTAGCCAAGTTGTTCCAGTCCAGCTACAACACTAGCCATCGATGATAATCTTAAATAGAAATCTAATGCAAATCTAACCATCTTCCCTGGACATTCAATGGCATTACCATTGGTGAATCCTACCGTAATCAATATTCTGGGGTTACAACAGAACTAGACCAACCGTATAAATATTGAGGCCATAGAAGCAAATCAGAGGTTACAAGTTCTGTAGTGAGCAACTCACTTCCTATCTTCCGTATACCTCTCCATTATCTAATAGACACAAATCAGCGCTGTGATGGAGTACTCCCCACATATCTGGGCAAATACAGATCCAACAACACTTGAAGCTCACAACAAATGAGGCTGCTTGTCGGCAACCAACCCACCATTAACATATCATTGCAGCAGTTTGCACCATCTGCAGCAACTCACCAAGGCTCCTTGACAGCACTTTCAAAACCCACAGCCTCTACCACCGAGAAAGAAGAAGGCAGCAGGTGCATGGGAACACCACTGCCTGCAAGTTACAGAATCACAGAAACTCTACAGTGTGGAAAGAAGCCATTTGGCGCATCAAGTCTGCATCGACCCTCCCACCCAGACCCGGCCCCTTATCCTATCCCCGTAAACCCGCATTTACCATGGTTAATCCACCTGGCCTGCACAGCTTTGGGCTGTTGGAGAATACCTGAGCACCTGGTGGAAACCCACGCAGACACTGAGGGAACATGCAAAGTCCATATAGGCAGTCACTCAAAGCTGGAATCAAACCCATATCCTGGCCCTGTGAGGCCACCAAGCCGATGGCATAATTTGAATTCAATAAAAATCTGGAATTAAAAGACTAATGATGGCCACAAATCCATTGCTAATTGTCAGAAAAACCCATCTGGTTCACTAATTTCCTGGTCTGGCCTAAATGTGTCTCAAGACCCACAGTAATATGGTTGACTCTTAACTGCCCTCTGGGTAATTAGGAATGGATAATAAACGCTGGCCTAGCTAGCAATGCCCTTATCCCATGAATGAACAAAAATATAATCTACTAAGAATTCTATTACATTGACTAATTACAGATCCAGTTTAGCATTTTGTTACTAACCATAGGTTTTGAAAGACATTTTTCAGGGTTGTGGGAAAGCAATATCCAAGCTCAGAAACTCTTGGTATCCACCGTTCCATACGTATCAAAAGGGAGCTATGGTTGGCCCAGCCAATTAAGAGGGAAATATAAGACTATTTTTGATTATGAATATCATTCGGTGGGTCTTGCCATTAAATGCATCCAAATTGATCCATCATTGACCCCCTACTCCCCACTCCAAAAAGTAGTAAATTTGCTGTTCATACAGCCTCACTGACACGCACAGTGCCTTAGAGAGCAAGGTACAGTAGAATCACTATCATTTGTGAAAGTGTAAGGGTCATCTTTAGGCGTGGAAGGTAGTCAAGGAAAGATAATGGGAGAGAAAAAAATTTACTTCATAAAATTTTATTCGTGGCAAATTACTCACCATTCTCGTTGTGTCGATCCTGAACCAGATGCTGGTAGACGGAATCTGGCACCTCTGACTGACGATAGTACCACTTGACATTCATTAACAGGTGGTCCCGTTTGCTCTGAAATGTTAAATATCAGCAGATTAAGTAAATAAAATTATAACTCCACAATGAGTATTATTCTTCACTTTGTGAACAAAATGGTCTTAACAGAACAGAAACAGAAACAGACCCTACAGTCCAACAGATCTGACCAGACATCCCAATCTGACCTAGTCACATTTGTCAGCATTTGGCCCATATCCCTCTTAATCCTTCTTATTCATATACCCATCCAGATGCCTTTTAAATGTTGTAATCATACCTGCCTCCACCACTTCCTCTGGTAGCTCATTCCATACATGCACCTCCCTCTATCAAAGGGTTAAGCCCCCAGGTCCTTAATAAATCTTACCCCTCTCACCTTAAACCTATGCCCTCTAGTTTTGGACTCTCCACCCTAGGAAAAAGACATTGGCTATTCACTCTATCCATGCCCGTCATGATGTTATAAACCTCTATAAGGTCACCACTCAGCTTCCCATGCTCCAGCCTCTCACTATAACTCAAACCCTCCAGCCCTGGCAACATCCTTGTAAATCTTTTCCTTTTCCTCTCAAGTTTAACAACATCCTCTCGATAGAAGGGTGATTAGAATTGTATGCAGTATTCTAAAAGTGGCCTCACCAATGTCCTTTACAAACCAATAAATACCAAACTCAATAAGAAATTGGCCAACAGGAATATTCAAGTTTGAGAAGTTTTACTTAAACATTCTTGATGAAGTCAATCTACCAAAAGTAGCAGTGATGATCCAATGGCTGCAAATCCTTTTACAACCTCCATGTCATCAATAACGATTGAATAGAGAAATAGACTGAATGGTACAGCCTTATAAATATATGGCCAGGGTATAAGTAAATCATAAATCTAATTGTGATGGATTAGTTCTATACAAGTAAAAGGTAAGTTCACCATAGTCCCAGAGGACCACTGGGCTGCTTTCCCATTAGAGAGAGATGACCGGTGGTGGTTTAACCTGAGGGTCACCACAGCTCAGATGAGGGAAAGATTGATAGGGACAGTCCTTTATGGTGACCTCAGCCAGTGTAGGAAGTGAACCCACTGGCATCACCCTACATCACAAGCAGAGCATCCAGCCAACTTAGCTAACCAACCCACATTACAGTTCTGCAAATGTTTGAGTTTAGAAAATTGAGTTTAGAAGCAAGCTTAATTTACATCCTGGGAAGAGTTCAGGGCAGTTCTTAAAACCAGTTACCTCAGCAGAAGGGGTTAGTTTGTAAACTTCCAAACCCCGAGATTTTGGTTAGAAATCTTACAAGGTATGTGTTTTTGTTTTAGATTTTATTTTTCTTTTGTTTTTAACCTGAAACTCAAGCTAGGCATTGGAGAAACAACCGCTTGAACAAGCAGTAATTGAAGTTGATTGTCAACAATTTGAAGCAGCTATTGCAGTTTTTGCTTGCAACAAGCAGTTGATTGGACTATGGATTAGCAACCATAACTTAACCACAGAGACTTTTTTGCCTGCAAACAACTGTGTAATGGTTCTCAGGTAAATGAACAACTTGAGACCAGAACAAGTTACAGTTACAACAGTTAAAAGACATTCGGACAGATACATGAACAGAAACAGTCTCGAGGGACATGGGCCAAACACAGGCAAGTGGGACTAGTATAGCTTGGGAAATTTAGTCAACATGATGAGTTAAACCAAAGGGTCTGTTTCCAAGCTGCATGACTCAGTTTATCTTTCCTGCAACAGCCGTTGTAAGCTGTGACATTTAACTGATAGGTCAGAGATTTTCATAAGAGAACCAGCCGCCTTGCATCTTGTACCAACCATTCAGAAACATCTGGAAACATCCAGAGAAAAACGACTAAAGCAATGTGATGGTCATCAGAAGAATCTTGAGCAGCATGTCAACAAAAGTACTTGGGAAGAAAGACAACTGAACTGTCCTTCCAGATTTTCAGCCTCCACTCAACCTATTTTACTCTGTCTGTCCGCCTGTGTATGTAAGGAGGAGTTCATAAGAGAATTAAGAGTTTTAATTAGTAGCATTATGTGCCAACCATTTATGATTGCTTACCTGTAGTTAGTGTCTAATTAGTTTTACTAAATAGTGATTCCTATTCAATACAGAAACCTGTGTTTTCTCTCCATAGATGCTGCCTGACCTCCTGAGTTTGTCCAGAAATTTCTGTTTTCATTTCTTGAAAGTCAGATAAATTGGAGATCTTTGCATACTTTAAAAATCTCTAACTTTTGTGACAACTCCGGAAATACTGGAATTGGATCTCCAGTGCACTACTCCACCGAGTCGGAAGAATCTGCAGATTTTTAAAAGAATGTTTAGGCTTTTAGATTGATGAAAGGTTCTTGCCGACAGACTTAGATCGAACTTACCTAATTTTCTCCATCACTTATGACAGAGAAATTGGAATTGGAGTAAGACTTCACTATACCCGTACTCCAATCATTTTGAGAGAAAGACCATAAGACATAGGAGCAGAAATTAGGCCATTTGGCCCATCGAGTCTGCTCCACCATTCAATCATGGCTGATAAGTTCCTCAACCCCATTCTATAAGACCATAAGACATAGGAGCAGACTAACATTCCATTAGCGTTCCTTATAGCTTGCTGCACCTACACATTAGCCTTCAGTGATTTATTGACTAGGTCACCTTGGTCTCTTTATAGACCTACACTCTCCAACTTCTCTCATTTATGAAACATTCCACACATTTGTACCTTTTACCAAAGTGGATAATCTGTCCCATTTCTACATTATATGCCATCTACCATGTTCTTGCCCACTTATTCAGCCTGTCCAAATCATCCTGAACTCCTTCACGTCTTCCTCACAACACACATTTCTGCATAGCTTTAAATCATCTGCAAGTTCATACATATTACATTTGGTCTCCACTTCCAAATCCTTTAATATTGTGAACAAGCTGGGTTCCAAGTACAGATCCTTGCAGTACCTCACTAATTACAGCCTAGCAATGCAAGAACAAGCCATTTACTTCCTCTTTTTGTTTCCCGACTGTTAGCCAATGCTTAATCATACCAGTACATTACCTCCTATCAATCCAGAATTTCCTAGATCACAAATGCAATGTGTTCTTGAACTAGCAACTCCACCAAAACCCAAGAGGAAACAAGCCCACAGGCAACTGAAAGTCAAGGTGTAAAGAACTCGTGATCGAAACAAATCAGATGTTGATGGAAACAGCACCAGGAGACTCGACAACTTGACAATTACAACACGCATGCGTTTCCTCAGCGCAAACAAAGTCTCCTACAGTCTGAGTACCCAGGGTCCGACTCCACTGAGAGGCAAAAATGGAGAACCGCTCATCAAGAACCAAGAAGCAGTCAATGTCTGCTGGTGACAGCACTTCGAGGATCTCCTCAGTCAAGACACAGCCTTCAATGCAAGTGCTCTCAACGTCGATCCGCAACCATGACCCGTCGTTATCTCAGCACACATCCAACCCGCCACAAGGTCAAATAATAGTGTGGAGCTGGAGGAACACAGCAGGTCACGCAGCATCAGAGGTGTAGGAGAGTTGACATTTCTGGCCTAAACCCTTCTTCAGGACTGGGCCTTCGGCACAGATGGAATCCCTGCTGAAGTTCTGAAGTAGAGAAGGGAGGCTGAATCCATCGTGATAGTCTTCAAGAACGGACACATGTCTGACTGTGCAAATCAGACAGGGATTTTACTACAGTATGCTATGGAAAAGGTCATTGCAAGAATCCTCTTCAACACCCTCTCCCAGTAGCTGGAGAGTTTCTCCCCAAGTCTCAATGCAGCTTCTGCCTGTCAAGAGATACAATGGATAGGACTTTCAGTGCACAAGAAATTCAAGAAAAAAGTGCAGGGAACAGGCACCAACCTCTGTACATGTCCTTCTTTGATCTCACAAAAACCTTCCAACTCTGTCACTATGACGGATAGTGGAATATCCTCAAATTTGGCTGCTTTCTCCACCTGCTTCATGACGACATGCAGTCTGTGATCCTCACCAACAAATCACCACAGACCCCTAATAACAGTGCTACACGGGGTGAAGCAGAGCTGGGTCATCACACCAACGGTCTTCTCTATCTCTCACTCTGCTACACTCCACCCCATCCCCATGAAATTCCAATAGCGGAGCTAACCACAGGACAACAGGCAAGCTGTTCAATTTTCAACACCACCAGACCCAAGGTGATCCCAACGTCTATCACCAAGCTACAATATGCAGACAACGCATTCACCAAGGCTAATGAGAGAATGGGCCTCAGACTAAACATCTGGAAAACAAAAGCCCCTGCCCCCACCCATCTACCATCAAAATTCCATGACGACCCCTTGGACAACATGGATCATTTCCCATCAGACATTGATGATGAAATCCAGCAGCTTTGCCAATGTGCCAGTGCAGTCTTGAAGAACAGAATATTTGAAGTCCAAGATCTCAAACCCAGCATCATGCTCATGGTCCACATAGCAACTCTGGTCCCCACTCCTGTATTCAAAGGGCCATATACACCTGCACTTCCATTGCACAATCCTACAAATACACTTGCAGGGTAAGCATACCAACGTGAGCATCTTCTTCCAGGTCAATATCCCCAGTAGCACGTGATTAGCTGCTGTGGGCGGACCACATTGTCCGCATGCTTGACACAAGACTCCCTAAACAAGGACTCTACTTGGAGCTCCGTAATGGTAAGCCACCATTGGGACAGCAGCGGAAATGCTGCGAGGACACCCTGAAAGCCTCCTTAAACCAATGCAACATCCCCAGTGATGTGGCAATCACTTGCCCTAGAATGCACAAAATGGAGAATGAGCATCTGTGAAGGCGACAACCACTTCAAGCATCAGTGGAGCAAGCATCGGAAAGAGTACTCGGAATCCAGAGCATCCCAACCTCCTCAAAAGCCACCTGCCCCAATTGTGGCAGAGTCTGTGGTTCCAGTATTCAGCCACCACAGAACCCAAATACCCTCAGAGTGAAAGCAAGTCGTCCTCAATCCTGAGGGGTTGCCAA